AGTCTGGTGCAAAATCTCTTTGAGATTGTTTCTTTTGAAACTTCAAAGTTGCCTTATTAATTAATTTTTTCTTCTAAGAGACAATGCCAAATAATTTTCACATTGACGTTTCTAATTTTAAAGTGTAAGTAAATCACAAGCAAACAAGCAACACCAACTATTATATCTGTTGACGACGAAGTTGATCGAGAAAAGGCTGAAGATGATGATCGGAAGATTTATCCTTCCTTGTCCATCGATGAGAGAAGAAGCAGTGAGAAAGAAGGGAATTTTGCCTAAGAATGAAAGTACACAAATAGCCCGTTTGGCCAAGCTGCAAAAATCAGCTTATTTTGAGAAGTGTTTTTTCAAAAGTGCTTTTCTTAAAAGTAATTTTGGTGAGAAGCAGTTTGTGTTTAGCTAATTAGTTTGAAAAACACTTCTGAGCAGCAATTAGTGTTTGGCCAAGCTTTAAAAAACTGCTTTTAAGTGTATTTTTCTCAAAAGTGCTTCTCAAAAAAGTGCTTTTGGAGAGAAGCTACTTTTTTCCGCTTCTCCAATTCTGCTTCTCCTCAAAAACACTTTTTTTCCTTCCAAAAGCTTGGCCAAACACCTCAATTTTTGGCCAAAAGTGCTTTTGGCAAAAAAAAAAAAATACTTTTGGCCAAAAAGAAGCTTGGCCAAACAGGCTAAAAGTAACCTAGTTATGTCTGAATTAACATCTCCTATGGTCAAGTCAAAGGACCATTCTGCCCTCACTCCTGATCATGCCATGTGTCACCCAATCAAACCATTCATATTACACTCACAATTGCAATTACATTCCAGCTGGGGTAGCATCGGATAGATATTCAAACCATTCATATTACACTCACAATTGCAATTACATTCCAACTGGTGTAGCATCGGATACATATTCAAACCATTCATATTACACTCACAATTGCAATTACATTCCAGCTGGTGTAGCGTCGGATAGATATGGAATAGTCTAGAACTTTATTATCTGTAATTAGCCGTCTTTTACATTTGTATATATTTCTTATGCATAGGACAAATTCTGTTATAATAGTACAAATGACAGAAGAACACGTATATGCACAGTACATAGGAAATTTTGTAGTATAAGAAAGGGTATTCTGTATAGACTAAGGCAAATAATACAATATTCCAATCAAGGATTGGATTTCAAAATCTTTCAATTTCTTCAATATCCAACCAATAGAATTTTTTGTTATGTGAAAAAAATCATCTAAGAAATTAAAGTAAAGTGTTAGAACAAATGTTACGAGAAACAGTTCCTCTTTTTATTATGTCAAAATAAGCATAGAAAAGTAATTAGCTAAAAATAAATCAAAGCATATATACGGTCTCTATTTCTGATGAGATCTTGCCTTGCGAGCCAACTCCTTCACTTTGTTTTCCTTATCTTTCATCATTAGCTCTTTCATAAGCTTTGACCGCATTGCAACTTCTTCTCTGGCTTTCTCTTCTGCAACATACAGAGCCTCCGAAACCTCCTGAAATTCCGCAGCAACACTCTTATCAAGATACGACATGATGCAAATAGGGAATAATGGATACTCCACCTTTGTTTGGATTTATATAATGATAACGGAGTACTAATCCTAAAAGGAATGGAGTTGTACAAAGGAAAGGATTCTACAACGATTGAGATCCTAACATCGTTCCTATATATATATATATATATATATATATAAGGAAAAGTTCTTTACACCCTTTTTTTTATTCTTCTCCCTTCCTTTTTTGGATTTATATAATGTTTACGAGACTAATCCTATATGGAATGGAATCCTACAATACAATTATTGGGATCCTAAAAAATTTCCGGAAAAGTTCTTTCCACCGCTCCTTTTCTATTTGCAAAACAATTTAAGATGAGGGACAAAATATGGCTTAATTGAATAAGTGATTCATATAACTCCTCTCTTTGTTTGCCAAAGTTAGAGGCTATAAGTGACAAAGCAATATAAATTATAAACGTAAAAGTAATTAAAATAATTGAATAATAAGTTGGCAAGAAGTATTCCAACCAGATTAATATTTGTATTCCAACGTCAAATCCACATATTTTGAAATGTTTAAAGAAACAAATTTCTCAAAAAAAAAAAAAAAAAAAAAAAAATTCTTTAAAAATATTCACAGCTCACCGTACCACTTTTTAAAATTTGAAAATTTGCTTCATTTCCGGAAAAGGTAAGGAATTCTTTTCGAGTCATCTTTTATATATGCAAAAGTTATATGACTTGTACAGTTTTTTTTAACTTTGGAAAATAATTAATTTCATGTCTAGAAAACGTAAGTATTGAATTCCATAGTTGTGACCAACTCCAACTAGGAATGGGAGGTTGTAGTTTTGATATAAACCCTTGTGGTTCACATCATACTGTAAAGCCGGCCCCTTATACAAGCCTGCAATTTCCAAGAAGAAAAATTTGAGGTTCAAGTTGTGCTTAAAATTATGGCGGAAACAATAGGCGATGGAGAGGACAGAATATCAGAATTGCCTGTACACATAATTCATGACATCTTACGAGTCGGATTAGGGTTGGTATATACGACGGACCAAAAGAAGAAGCTCGAACTTGCGTCTTGTCTAAGACATGGAATTCAATTTGGAGAACGCGACCTAATGTGATCATTCACTCCAGCCAGCGCAGTTTCTACAAGAATTTGGAGAATTTCGTTAAATTTGGAGAGATTGGAGCTAACTTGGTGTAGAGAAGTGAAAATCGGCGCTCCAAATCTTAAGAAATTTGCATTTGTTGGTGTGCCATTGCATAAGTACCCGAAGACACTTGAGCCAGAACCGATGCCATGCACAATTGATATTTTAGATGGTAAGTCTTTAAAAACTCTCCGTTTGGAAGCTACCACGATGACGGACCAGGAGTTTAATTTGAATATCAATTATCTAAATTCTCAGCCCTTGAATTTTTGGAACTCAAAGGATGCTATGTAATGAAAAATATGAAAATTGTAAGTGAAAAACTGGAGAAATTCGACTTGTGCGATCATAGGGGGAATCTGGAGCAACTCAACATGGTGGCTCCAAATCTGATTGAGTTCAATTTTTCAAGTGGCAAAACATGCATGCCATTCTCAACTATGGATCCTTCTAGCCTAGAACGAGCCAATATCAATTTTTATGCCAAGTCATGTGATTCTTACGACACAAGTTTGTATAATAATCTTCTACACTTCATTCAAAAGTTCAACTATTCTAATGGCCTAATATTAGTAATTCGTTGCGAGGAGGTAACTTTTTCTTCCTTCATTTTTATTGAACATATTCTCCCTTAATTTGTCCTATTTTTGTTGTCGTTTTTGCTCAAAACACGTCCATTAGAAAAATATTAAGCACAAGATATAATTAACTACTAGTTACTGTATTACACCCTCATTTACTTCATAGTGGACAGTTCTTCTATTGAAATAATAGTAAATTTGATTTCTTTTGACCTCTCTAATATAAGGGGTTAATTAATTTTTTTTTTTTTTTGTTGATTTCTCAAAAAGCCACAATTATTTTGGGATACTTTATTTAAGCTAATTAAAATGATACTTACTAGTTGTTTTGCGACGGGGGGAGTACTATTCTGATTTACGCATTGCGCTACTTGTTTAATTTGGATTTTGGGCTTTAATATGCAGGAATTTCTTATTTATGAAGATTCAAGAGAAATTATGATTCCACCGGCGCAAAAACTAGAGCTACTCATCAAGAATCCTTCAATGCGTCTTCCGTCATTTGTAAATGGTATAATGTCATATTAGCCCAAGAATGTATCCGTAGTGCATGATATTAGCAGCAATATACTCCAGGTATAAATATAGTATGTTAAATCTCAAAACGCCAATTTTTAAGTGTTCATTTTTTTCATGCAATTTGCTATTCTCATATCATAGTCGCTAAGGCGCATGTACAAACCAAAAATGCTACGTACAAAATTGCATGACTTTCTCATAATCATGGGAATTTGGACAAAAGATGTTAAAGCAAATAATTTTGAATCACATTTTTCACTAAACTAAGAGCTTCTTACCTATAATTTTGGAATAACAGGTCTTCCATGAGTCAGAAGCAGTACGGAAGGCTAAAAGAAGTCACTAATCACAAAGGCGTAGGTGATGAGAATGGAGGGGCGTCTAGTTTCTGCACTTGGGTCTCTAATTGAGCGGATTACTACTTTTAGTTTTAAATGGGTGTAAACTCCTTTCCTCTAGATCTCTAATCTATCTTTTACATAATAATAATAATAATAGCTGCATTTTGAGTTGTATATGGAATTCTCAAATGAATCCATTGCCCCAATATTTGACCAAATATAGTATATGAGTTTCTACGTGTGCATACTCTTAGTCCTTTTTGCGAGATAACAAGTGTTTTAACTTAATCCTGAGTAATACACGTTTCAGTTGGTGCATTTGGTTACAAAAATAGGAAGAAATAATCCATATATATATATATATTGTTGTCGTCAAATCAAAGCAAAATCATAAACTTGCTAGCTCAAGTCTCTATATTTGCAGGGCAAGTCTACAAGAACACAACACCTTAGTAGGTAGTAGGTGTTTGGACAATATTGGCTAAAGTTGAAAAAAAAATTGTATTTGAAAAGGAGTATTGAAAGTTGAAATTGAGTTTTGCACATGAATTTGAAAAAAATGTTAATATATTTAGTGACTAAAAACTATTGTTATATTAGTTGAAATACTTTTTAAATAATAATATCAGCTTCTACTTTTTTATCTCATGTTATTGAAATATTTTCAGGTTTGGATTAACCTAACAATATGCAACTTGGTTAACAACTATTTTTCACATACAGCAAAAGATTAACATAAAAATAAATATTGATATTTAATCATAATTAATAAAAACTATTTATGCAATATAATACTAAATCATACTAATAATAGAAAAGGTCAACCTAATTTGATTAATTAGAGTGATAAGTTCAACCATTCAAAACAACAAAAGAGAATATATCACCCCATTTATGTGTTGTTCCACTTTAACACATTACCAGCAAATCTACTAAAACAGCAATAATACTATTACAATTATAAAAATAACTAAAATAGTGCTCATTAAAAACTAAAATTACAAAAATCTACTTATCCTTCATCTGCACGAACCTTCCTTCAATCTTTGTCACAGAAGTAATACAGCTACCAAATTCTTCAGCAGATCCCACAAAATTTCCAATTGACAAAGTTAGCACCAACAAGCCGAGGCGGATCATCATCCTATGCAAAGGTCACAATTGTTAGAACAAAAATTAGTTGTAGAAAAAACTAAATTAAATTATAGGAGTAAATTAATTACAGTTTCAATCATCCAGCCTCCATTGAAGTTATATTCTTCGGGAACAAGTCCATGACACTCAAACACCATTAGACGTGCCCAAACCTTCCTTTCAGCGTGTAAAGCTGTAAAAGCAGTGCCAGAACCGGGAATCAACCTCACAGACCCTTCCCGGGAACAAAGCTTGCACTGCATTTATATATGTGCAAAGAAAAAAATTATGTTAATGGCAAACAACTTAAAAATGATAAATAACTTATTTCTTCAACTTGAGGTTAAAAATCTTTCTCTTATACTTCACCATCTCGTTCAGATAAGCACACTGCTCTCCAGTCATGTTTCCACAATTCTCACATCTCATCTAAGCGTAGATTAGCAAACAAAAGAAAAAAAATGGTAAGACAAAGTAATCTCTGTTGAATTCTTACCAAGTATAAGAAAAAGAAATAGATAAAGGAAGAGATTAAAACAGAGAATAAACCATTAAATATCCGTAGGAAGACAAATAAACAGAGAAAAGAAAAAATGGTAAGAGAAGTATTTTCATGTATAAGAAAAATAAATAGATAGAAGAAGAAGTTAAAGCAGAGAACAAACCACTACTGAATATTCTTAGGAAGAAAAATAGACTGAAGAAAACAAAAATGGCAACAAAGCATTTTCCTCTGCTAAATCCTTACTATAAGAAAAAGAAACAGCCAGAGGAAGAAGATAAAGCATAGAATAAACCACTAAATATTTTCAGAAAGAAAAAATAGAAAGAGTAAAAAAAATGGTAAGACAAGTATTTTTTTCTGCTGATTTCTTACTATGTATAAAAAAAATAAATAGATAGAAGAAGAAGTTAAAGTAGATAACAAACCGCTACTGAATATTCGCAAGAAGAAAAATAGACAAAAGAAAACAAAAATGGCAAGGCAACATTTTCCTCTGCTAAATCCTTACTATAAGAAAAAGAAACAGCCAGAGGAAGAAGATAAAGCATAGAATAAACCACTAAAAAATTTTAGAAAGAAAAAATAGGAAGAGTAAAAAAAATGGTGAGACAAGTATTTTTTTCTGCTGATTTCTTACTATGGATAAGAAAAATAAATAGATAGAAGAAGAAGTTAACGCAGATAACAAACCACTACTGAATATTCGTTAGAAGAAAAATAGATAGACGAAAACAAAAATGGCAAGACAAGCATTTTCCTCTGCTAAATCCTTACTATAAGAAAATTAAAAGAAATTGCCAGAGGAAGAAGATAAAGCATAGAATAAACCACTAAATATTTTTAGAAAGAAAAATAGATAGAGTAAAAAAAAATGGTAAGACAAGTATTCTTTACTGCTGATTTCTTACTGTGTATAAGAAAAAAAAATAGATAGAAGAAGAAGTTAAAGCAGATAACAAACCGTTACTGAATATTCATAAGAAGAAAAATAGATAGAGGAAAACAAAAATGGCAAGGCAAGCATTTTTCTCTGCTAAATCCTTACTATAAGAAAAAGAAACAGCCAGAGGAAGAAGATAAAGTAGAGAATAAACCACTAAATATTTTTTGGAAGAAAAATAGAAAGATTAAAAAAAAATGGTAAGACTAATATTTTCCAATGATATTTCTTACTATGTATTAGTAAAAGAAATAAATAGAGGATAGAGCTTACCTTGAAGAAGTAACCCATCTCTGAAGTGATTTGTGTATAGATGAAGATGAGATGAAGAAGAAGATGAACTGAAGAAGATAGCTCACATGCAGAAGAGAGAATAGAACACAGACTTAGCATAGAAGAAGAATTTTTAATTCTGTTATTCATTTGTGGGTGTATACATGTATTTATACTAAATACATAAATGTGTATTTGTAACTAATTAACTAAGTACTCTAACAGCTATTAAGTCGTTAATAACTGACTAAGGTAAAAAGACCATTCTGCCCTTGTACTATCATTTAACACTCCCCCTCAAACTAGGTGGTGAAAAAATATTGATCACACCTAGTTTGGACTTCAAATATTCATGTTGTACTTTGGTTAACCCCTTTGTAAGGATATCAGCAGGTTGATCTGTGGTTGCAATATATTTTGTGATGACAAGTCCTTGTTGAATTCTTTCTCTTATGAAGTGACAATCAATTTCAATATGCTTGGTTCTTTCATGGTAGACTGGGTTTGCAGCTATTTGAATAGCTGCCTTACTGTCACTGTAGATATTGATAGGTAACTATGGCTTTGTATCAACTTCTGTTATTAAGCCATATAGCCAGATAAGTTCAGCTACTGTTGTGGCTAAACTTCTGTATTCTGCTTCTGCAGAGCTTCGAGATACAGTCGTTTGTTTCTTAGACTTCCATGACACCAATGAATCACCAACTTTAATCAAGAAACCTATAACTGATTTTCTGGTTAGAGGACATGCAGCCCAATCTGCATCACAATAGGCTGTGATGGTGTTGTTTTGAGAGTTTGACAACAAGATCCCTTGACCTGGCTGATTTTTCACATATCTTACTATTCTTAAGGCAGCTTCCATGTGTGATTTTTTTGGTTGTTGAAGAAATTGACTAAGTGTTTGAACTCCAAATGCTATGTCTAGTCTTGTTACAGTCAAGTATAGTAGTTTTCCTATTAGTCTTTGATAGGAAGTTTGATCAACTAACCTATCTTCTTTCTCTGAGCCTTCTACCTTACCAATGTGATCATCATATTGTTTGGAGGTTAGTTTGATGTTGACATCAATTGGAGTTATTGCTGGTTTGGCTGCAGCTAATTCAGCTTCTGAAATTAACTCCAAAGCATATTTTCTCTGGTGCATAGTTATTCCTTGATTGGATCTAGCAAATTCAATTCCCAGGAAGTATTTCAGCTCTCCCAGGTCTTTCATTTTGAATGCATTGTGCAGTAGATTCGTTGTTTCCTCAATCAAATGCAGACTGTCACCTGTGATTAACATATCATCTACATACACTAGGATTATGGTAGTACCTTCAGTTGTTTTCCTGATGAATAGAGAGTGATCATGCTGACTTTGTTTGAATTTGAAACTCAGTAATGCTTCACACAGTTTTGCATTCCATTGTCTAGGTGCTTGTTTGAGCCCATATAGGGATTTAACAAGTCTACACACATTGTTCTCCCCCTGACTTTTAAATCCATGTGGTAGTTCCATATAAATTTCATCAAATAAGTCCCCCTGTAGAAAAGCATTATATACATCCATCTGATGTATATGCCATTTCCTTGAAGCTGCTAAGGCAAGAATAGTCCTGACTGTGACCATTTTCACCACCGGTGAAAATGTCTCTTGATAATCAATACCTTCCTTTTGACTATAGCCTTTGGCTACTAGTCTAGCTTTGAATCTTTCAATTTCCCCTGAAGCTTTGTATTTGATTTTGTAAATCCACTTGCATCCTATAGGCTCTTTTCCTTCTGGTAGAGTTACAATATTCCAGGTATGATTATTCTCAAGAGCTTTTATCTCTTCATTCATTGCTTGTATCCATCTAGGATCCAAAATTGCTTCAGAATAGTTAGCTGGTTGAGTAACTGATGAAGTTGTAGCTAAATAGGACTGATATTTAGAGGAGAGATGATCGTAGTTAATATACTTTTTTAGAGCATATGGTACATCTTTATGGATATTGAGGGAAACAAAATCCTTCATCCAGACTGGAGGATGTTTGTCTCTGTTGGATTTTCTAACTTCAAGCAACGACTGATTTTGTATCTCAGTAGTGTCAACTGGCATTTGTGAAGTACTAGTATCAAAATGAGTAGGCTCTGAGCAGAAATCTATTTCTGCATTTTCTGTAGCTGCATCTGTGTAGTTTTCTTCTGAGTTGTGTTGTATAATTGTGTCACTATATTCTGTGTTGTCATCTTCATTATTATTTGTAGCTGTTGTTCTATTCTGATATAACATTGTAGAATCATGTAGTTGTATTTCCAAGCTTGGTGTTGTATCAATAAATATTTGATGGCACTTGTTATCCTTCTTTATGAAAGGAAATACATCTTCTCTAAATGTGACATCTCTGCTTGTGAAGAATGTTTTAGCAGTAGGATCATATAGAATGTATCCTTTTTGAACTTCTGAGTATCCCATGTGTATAGATACCTTAGCTCTAGGCATTAGCTTATCATGTTCTTGTACAATTTTGGCAAAGCACAAACATCCCAGTACTCTAAGATGCAAAATGGAAGGCTTACTTTTATGTAGTCTTTCAAAAGGAGATATATTCTCAATGACAGCACTGGGCATTCTGTTTATTAGATAAATAACAGCTAATACACAATGACCCCAAAATTTGATTGGTATTTGAGCTTGAAATCTGATAGCTCTTGTGACTTCTAATATGTGTCTGTGTTTCCTCTCAGCTACCCCATTCTGCTGAGGGGTATATACACATGTTCTTTGATGTATAACTCCCAACTCTTTGAATAGTTGTTCACACACAGAGTTCACAAATTCTGAACCATTATCAGTTCTTATTGTCTTCACTGTTACATCAAATTGAGTTCTAACATATTTGAAGAAATGTTGAATTGAGACACATGCATCAGACTTTTGCTTTAGTAAAAATACCCAAGTCATTCTTGAAAAATCATCTACAATAGTCAAAAAAAACTTGTTTCCATCAAATGTAGCAAGTCTATATGGTCCCCGACAAGTCTACTTGTATTAGATCAAAACATCTACTACTCTGAATACTACTTGTAGGAAATGGTAATCTAGTTTGTTTTGCACAAGGACATACTGTGCATTTGTTTATTCTATTTCTGATAGTATCACTATCTATATGAAGTAATTTTCTAAGAATCTGAGTAGACACATGACCAAATCTTCTATGCCAGAGTATCACATCTGATTGTTTAACCTCAGTTGCATCATTTGCTTTTGTAGTTAGAGCAACCATCCTGTTCCTTTCAGCTGTATTAGAATATAGAAGATATAAGCCACCATCCTCTTTACCAATCTCCTTCACCTTCCCAGTGAAGAGTTCCTGAAATATACAAAAATCAGGAAAAAATGCTGCTAAGCATTGCAATTCTTTGGTTAGCTTAGACACTGATAATAGATTGTACTTGAATTGAGGAACATAGAACACATTTGTTATTGTGCTATTTTCTAATATAGAACTTGCTCCTGTATGTGTAACAGTTGTAATATTACCATTTGGTAGCAATATTTTCTTTGGATTGTTTGTTTTAAGTACTGTTTTTTCATCTAGTAAGGTTTTGTCAGACACCATATGATTTGTAGCTCCTGTATACATAATCCGCTGACTGAGGCAATTAGAAGCTAATAGAGCTGTTTCCATACCTGTCATATTAGCTGCTGGAGTAGAACTTGATACATTGGTTTTGTTTAACATTTGCAAAATCTGTTCATACTGTGTCTTTGTGAGAACATAGTTCTCAAGCCCTGTATTCTCCATATTCAGACTAGAGCTTTGATTTGGAGTAGTATTCCCATTTTTCACTTGGTCCTGCACATTTGTATTCTGCCCATACTTGAATACAGGAGGTTGTTGATCATTTGAGTGATCAACCTCTATCATTAAATTCACATTGTAGGCTGCATTTGTACCAATATTTCCTTTTCTTTTGTTCTTAAAATCTGCTGGATATCTCACAATCTTATAGCAATTTTCTTTACTATGCCCCTTCATTTTACAGAAATCACAATACACATTATAATTCCTTCTAAATCTTTGATTCTAATTCTGATTTCCTCCAGCTTTTGAATACATGGCAATCTCATAGTTTTCTACTTGACTTGCAGGATTAGACCCCAAAATTCCTGAAGTTGCAGCAACAGACTTTTGTCCCTCATCACTTACAATTAATGCATAAGCTTGATTAACTGTGGGAATAGGACTTCTCATCAAGATTTGACTCCTTTCTTGAGAGTATGAATCATTCAACCCATCAAGAATTGATATAACTTCAACTTCTGCAAATACACTACAAATTCTCTCGACTTTGGGCAGTCACAGCCAGGTGCTGGCACCAAAGCCTCAAATTCTTCCCACAAGTCCTTTAACCTTGAAAAATAGACTGATACAGAAGCTGTACCTTGTGACAATGTAGCAATTTCCTTATGCAGATTGTAGGTTCTTGACCCATCCACCTTGTTGTATCTTTCCGAAAGATCCTCCCAAACCAGTTGAGCACTTGATGCATACATAATTCCTCCAAGCAATCCTTTTGCCACTGAATTCATAATTCAAGACAACACAATTGCATTAACTCTTTCCCAATGATTCCACATCGATTCTGGGAAGTTCTCTTTCTTGTATGTACCATCGACCATACCCAACTTGTTTCTTCCTAGCAGTGCTACTCGCATGGATCTAAACCAGATGGAATAATTCTCAATTCCAGTCAATTGAATGAAATTATTTGAATACCACTTACATCTGCAGGAGATTGAAAAAGTGGATGATTATAGTCAATCCCAGTTGCTTGATTTGCTTGATTTCCAGCACTTTGATTCAATTGTTCACCACCAATTTGTACTCGTGGTGTCTGACCCAATTGCCCATTTGGAATCGCCATTTTCTTGCAGATTCAATTGCTTAAGAACTTGCTACTTGCAATTCTTCACAGAGAAAACAAGAACAAACAGAAATTGAGTAGAAAATGAGATTAGGATCGAATAGAAGCTAAGTATTTGAGCTTCTTGTTCTGATACCATGAAGTGATTTGTGTATAGATGAAGATGAGATGAAGAAGAAGATGAACTGAAGAAGATAGCTCACATGC